CACCCACTTTGAAAGTCCTCACGGGCCAGTTCATTTGTGAGATGGATGGCAGCCAGCCTATTGGAAAAAGACTACTCTCATCCCTCTCCTTTCAGTCGAGTGAGCTAATTTTTTTCGTGCTTTTTTGAGCCATACAACTTTGATTAACCCTAGTTCGCCATTTTTTTGGCATTAATCTAGACCATCTAATCTGAGATAAATCGTATTGATTGAGACGACCCAGAAAGCACTTGATCATATCATGATCTGATTTGTAAGCCTACTTGGGTCTTGAGTATTTACTTGTAAGAACGGAATTCTTTGTTTTGTAATGGAGAGTTGCAACTCCATATGTAGGCTTTTGTTTACCGAGGGTTCGAATCCCTCTCTTTCCGTACCTTCGCTTAATTCACCAATTTTACTAACAACAAGGACTCAAATAGCATTGTATCCCTCCCGTAAGTTCCTTTGTCGTTGGGGAAAAAAAAGAAAGAGATTTTAAAAAGAAAAGAAATTGCGTAAATTCTGCCTTTTTTGATGGTATGCGCCAATAAGACCACCAAAGGCCTTTGTGGCACTAGTGTGCCACAGAAGTCATGGGTGATCATTGGTCCGATGCTTCGGGCGAAAAAGGGGAGAGTGGCCGAGTGGTCAAAAGCGGCAGACTGTAAATCTGTTGAAGTTTTTCTACGTAGGTTCGAATCCTGCCTCTCCCACTTGTTTGTTGTAGACTTCAGAGAAGAGAAAAGAGGCATTCGTCAGCGTAGGAAGGCCAACCGAGCGAAGCTCTTTCTTTTTTTTGGTAGCGGACCTCTTTGATAGTTCGACCGTTATCCCCCGTCTAACTCAACTATTCGACTGTACGGCTATTGTGATTGCGAGTCGAAAGGAATGGAATAGGAGTGAAGTTAGAAATGTTCACGTAGAAGCTCCTCTTTCATCTGCAGGTATAGACTTCTTTGGATCTTATCCGCTAACATCTCGCCCGGTAGTAGTAGCTTCCTCCTCTCGCCGTCCCGCCCTTATAACAACTCTGGAACCCAAAGCAGTCTTGCAGGAGTGGTAACCCCTGTAGTAAGACTCTTCGGCCTCGTAGTCAATCTACTGATGGGGGTCAAAGAGTTTTAGAAAACGTTCTTGGTGGAAAAAAATGTGAATGAAGGAGCGACAATGACATGAATTCAATACTAATAAAAAAGGTAAGCCCGCCGCTGAAAGAGACCGAAGAAGGTTCAACTAGCGCCGGTGCGAGGCCTTCAGATAGTTAGCGCTTTGCACGAGCTTCAAAAGAAAGAGAGATCGAGTCATATAGATACAAATGGTCCAATGGGAGCAAGAGTTTCCAGGAACATTTGGAACAGTCCGTTTCGAAGCAGAAGAGCCGTTTTCAAGTAGTGTTCGATCGATTACGTATTAATCAATATTCGATTGATTGGTCTGAGGTTATCGACAAATCTTACATATGATCATCTCTTTCTTGATATATAAAAGCGAATCTTTTTTTTTTAAATAGTGAACAAATAAAATTAAAAGAAAAAACTAATTAACATCTATGACATCTGTTGTTATATAGCTCATTATTATTATTTTTTATAAAATAATTAATCGTCAAATAAAATCATCCGTCAATTTTTATTATTTAGCAACACAAGTTGTTAGTCACTATTTCCTCTTCTTTTATTTTTTCTTTCTTGGTGAGAAAATGAGATGTGACTTTTGATAAATTACCCAAGTATAAGAAAATTATGGGAAATGAGCAAATAAAACTATAGCCTAAAATGGAAAGTTGATTTTAATTGAGCACATGCAACTCTCAATTCTTATTCATGTTTTATGCATTGTATTCATTAAAGACTTTGTGGTCAATGTATTAAAATCACCCCAACATGAATGGACTATGATGGGGGACCAATTTTGCAATAAATATAGTTTGCTTTATTGACTAAACATTTACTATTTCTTCCATCAAAGAAAAGTTCTATTTTTTTTTGAAAAATATATATATCTTTCTATTTTTCATTTAATATTCTATTTCTATCAATATGCTATTTTGTTATACATCGAGTGTATACCAATAATGATAATATATTATGATCGGATAGGTGAAATTTTTTCTTTAGCCAACTCAGTAAAAAATTGGTAGTAAAATCCACGAATCACTCTCTACTGTTACTAGACTTGTTTGTTCACATTGACAATGCCTTGTGGGTTCTATTTATCTTTAGCTCCTTGATTTCAAAATATATTTGTTTACGGGCATATAATATGTTATCTTAATTGAAAAAATTATACAAATATAGTATCTGATTGTTGATAGTATATGTGTGTGGTCAATCGTATATATATATGTTTACGATGTTTACGTTTTTAAAAAAGAGGTTGAATGGTATGTGTAGTCAATTATGTGTATATGTGTGTGCGCGCAGTAATAACTAGGATTTTTAGATATACAAATACATGCATATATCTATAAATATAAATTTTTTATGAAATTATATATCTTTGATGTATTGTGTGGATCAAAATCGCTAGGTCGAACAAGTGTATCCTTTGTATATATAATGGATTGTTATGGTTAGCGTGTAACATCCTTAATAAATGAGTTGGTGGGCTATTATTTGAGCCATGGCCCATTAAGTTGCTTTTTGTTAGACAAAAAGTGTTGGATGTGAGTCACCAAGTTGATTGGGTCCAAAATGATATTAATTATTAATTACCTAATTACCTTATTCTAAAGCCTCCTTGACTAAATATGTATTGGTTATTTCAATTGGCCTATGACATATATTGGTGATTCAAACTTAAGAATAGAAGGATCTTATCCCTCCCATAACAAATATTGGTGATTTTTAAAGTGAATATTACATGATTAAGTTATCATAATTATAAATTTAGTTAATCATTATTTGCGATTAATATTCAGTGATGATTATGTGGATTTTGAGTTTATATAATCCACACGTTTGTATAATCTAAATTTGTTTAAATTTTGTATAATATAGTTTGTATAAATCTATAAAGTTCAGTTTGTGTTTGTATAACTTTGTATTTTTGAGTGTATGCAAAAGTATCTCAATTATACAAACGTACACGCAAATTATATTAACCCTCAAATTGTACAAATTGAGACAACTTAAATTGTAGTTACAACAAGTAAATATGCAAACTATAATTATGAAACATAATTAAGTTTATTATAGTAGATATTTGGGAAAATTTCCTTTTTTAAAAAAATAAATCTATACAATAGTAATTTGGGAAAATTACATGGGATGACAAACATCCCTATGTAATTAGTTAATAGTGGTATAGTTTAATTTATTTATGATCAGTAAATATAATTTTAATTTTTTTGGCCATAATTAATGGGATCCACTACCTATTTGAATATATGATAAAAATAGTCATCCAAAGATTTTTATATAATTTTATTCAAAATCAAATTTATGTTTCATATTTCATATTTCATTCCATATCTTTTCCTAAAATTACTCTTCCCTTCTAATTTGAATTTCCATTGGGAAAATTTTGACCTTCGTGTTCTTCCACTTTTCACAGGTAACCGCCAAATTCATAGCTTTCAATATTTTTCTTCTTGATTCCTTCTACAACAATTATATATGTAGTATGATTGTTAGTTTTTTCATACTTTTTTTAAAATTTTTTTATTACTTATCATATTACAAGTTTTTCAAAATCAGAATGGATGATTTCTCTCCATCTATGAGGATTACGAGAAGTATGTAATTGCATATTAATGTTGTTGATAATCCACCTTCATTTCAATTGGATTAACTCAGGATTTTGGGTCAATGTAGGGTCTATGGCAAAACATAAACAAGTTTAAGGTAAACAATCTATTGAAGAATTGAGATCCATGAAAAAAAAATCCCAATGACAATTCATAAAGTCATCAACAAAGCGAAATCTAGCGGCATTAAGATTGTTGAAGGTGGAAGTAAGAGAAAAGATATAAACATTGATTCAGAGGAGATCGAATCTGCCTCATCAGAATTGGATAAATGTGAAGAATATCGGGAACATCAGGTAGTGTAATTTATATACAATTTACAAAGTTATATATATAGTGGATTGTATATTAAGGTAATATATACAAAAGCATTATAAAACAGTTCTTAATTGTATATTCAATTAGTTGTATATCAATTACTAAAGTTAGGTATATAGTGGGTTGTATATCAAGGTAACATATACAAAGTCTTATGAGGCAATATCTATCTGTATACAATTATTTAATTTTGTATAAAAGAAATTTGTTAAAATCACTCTATAATACATATACAAAATTATAATACATTATACAAATTCGTCGATTTATACAAAAAATTATGAACCATAATAAAATATCGTATATATAAACGTTATACACTCAAATGTAGAAACAGATTTCAAGCTTACTATATATACAATTAACAAATGAAGATTATACAATCAGTTTAATCATTAATATTTTTTTTAAAAAAAACTTGAAATCACAGATGCACATATATAATTGTAATATATATACCAAAATTATTGTACATTCTACAAATTCCTAGATATATACAAAAGAAAAAATAGGAATATAATAAAATATTGTATACAAACAGATTGCCTTAAAAGAAAATCAAAAAATACATATTATGATGGTCATATACAGTTTAAAACACAAAAACAGTTACACACAAATATTGTATCAAAATTATATACAATTTCTCAAATATTTGATTTTGAATTGGTATTGTCTTTCTATAGCTTTAAAATTCTTTTTTCGAGAAAATATTTGATTTTGAATGTTTTGCTTAAATCATGAGATTATTGTTATCATCTTTTGTGATACTGTTACCATTTATTGAAAAAATAATTTTTTGTATAAATTTAATTACAAAAAATGTTTTATACAAATTTAGAGTCACCTAACAAACTAAACTATACTCATGGAATGTAATTATGTAAACTATACCCACAAAATATAATTTCATAAAATCCGTTTGCCATATTATGAAATTTTCCCTTTAATTTTACCTTGTTTGGCAATATTGTGAGTTGGGCCTATGGATTTCAAGCCCATATTCCTCTTTTAGCTTGTTTGCGTTTACAACAAGCAATTGGATTCCAATTTGGGATCCGAATTCCGATTGATTTTGCCGTCCAATTTCAGATGACACCGGAGTAACTTTCCTCTGCCGTTTAATTTTTTTAATCTCCGGCGAAATTGAACTGTAAGTTATCTCTTTTTGTCTTATGAGAAGAAAAACCTAACATTTTTTTTGCATTATATTGTTAATGGTAGAATACAAATTGTTAATTTGGCTGCAAGGTTTTTGCACTGTGAATTGAATTATGTGTAGTCCAAGTTCAATTTGGCTCAAATTGTAGCTACTTTTACTTGCGAATTCATTTGAACCTAGTAAAAGTTTACCAAATTGTAACAGATAGTAGGTCGAATCTCATAATTTTAGAAATACAATGAGTTCAGTGCTAAGTATTTTAAAGGCTGAACTCATAAAGTTTGAATATTGGATTCGTTTGTGTCTATGTTTACATGTGAACTTGCAGTGCCAACTTTTGCTTCTGACAAGGCTAACCAATTTTCAATCCCCTGTTGTCTGTTAGAGATTTGATGGTTGGTTTCTCTGTAAAAAGATAAATATTTTTGGCATGTCAATGTTAGATGTAGATCAGAATGCATATGGGCGAGTCATATAACCGACTTCAACCAGTTGGGGGATTGTGGCATAGTAGTATTAGATAGTACATATTAGGTGTACTATTCGTACTTTGTAGAAATGAGATTATTAGGAGACATTTGTGCAGGTCACTTGATAGCTCAAACAATGACGTGTATAGTTCTCAAATTATGTTTCAACTTTTCAACAAAGGAAGGCCTATGGCATGCTTGGTGAATTTCAGCTGGCAAAACACTTCCAGAGTTTCCATGTATCAAAGTAGAGGCTTTAGATCTGTGTAATTATCTCTAGGTTTACTTGTTGAAGAAGAACCGTCCTTGAGAGTGGACGGAGAGCTGCCAAAAAACCTTTCTAAGAAAGCCGCGTCTATGTGCCAAAATGGGGCAACTTAAGGCGGCACTCTTCTAAAAGGAATGTTATGATATAAAATGGGCTGATCATCCGGGGCAACAAGGCACATGAACTCTCCTGGAGTCGGCATATTATTGGCTGCAAACGAGAGAGAATTCCAAAAGGAAAGAGAACGAAATCTCAGTTTCCCCATTGACTTGCGTAAAAGATTTTTCAATATAATTAGCTGTCAGTAGTGATAAATCCTATTTATTTTGATTATATATTAATCATATAAACATTCCGAGCTGTGAACTCCCACTCGTCTTCACTTATATGGCTAGCTGTGAAGTGGGGGTCAGATTGTGGGATGTATGGGTGAGAAGGGGTCCACGTGATTGCATCAAAAGCTAGGTGTCCATGTGACTGCATGGACCTTGTACACATTGAGAATTTATCCGCGGTCTGTTGCTAGGATTGTGAGTTTCTTTGGAGGTCAGAAAGAATGATCTAAAATGAAAAATTCAAACAAAAAAGGAAAAAGAAGTCTCATTACTGAACATCCATGTTATAATTTTTTTTTGATGACCGTGGTGTGTGGGCCAGCTTTCACGCACCTCGACTAATTCCACGTTATAACTATTAAAAGGGGAAAAGTTAAAAAATGCTGAAAGAAATAATTATTGGTCAAACTAGTAGTCTAGTTCTTATAGGCTTGGCAAGAGAAATATGGAAACTTTGCAGTTCAAAAGTTCCAGCCATGCCCATTAATCGTACATAAAGTATTACAGAGCTCTCTCTTTTGCCCTACCATTCTTCATTATGCTGGTCTAGTTTCTTTTTGATGATTTAAAGCTGGTTCAGTTTTAGAACATTTGCATATTTGGTGAAAAATACGTCTTTGATGTATAATGTGCCCCAAGGCCTAGCTCGAGTGACAAAAGGTGGAGGATTTGTGGCTTAGGTCGCAAGTTCAAGCCCCACACTATGCAAAACGAAGCTTGGTATTTAAGTGGAGTAGGGTAGAGGGATGGGCCCATTATCCACCGAGTTTAGAAGGCTCTGATTGGTCCAGAGGGCGGGTCAAAGACAGATTTTTCGGTTATCAAAAAAAAAAATTCTCCCATAATGCAGTTTACCCGAAAAAAACAATTGTTCTTTAACTATTTCCTTCTCATAACATTCCCATTCATTTCCTTCCCCTTTTTTGTGTGGTTTATGCAGTTAGTTGCTTATATAATGTGAATAACATCCTTTGCTCATGACTTGAGTCGATGTTCTTTACCAGCCAGGTTGCTGAAAAGTTGAATAACATGGGTGATGCAATTGATTTGACTGGAGATGGAGGTGTTATGAAAAAAATTGTGCAACGATCCAAACCTGATGCTATTGCTCCCTCAGAGAGTCTTCCTCTTGTTGATGGTATGGGTCATAGCTTGCTTTTGACATTTTACATAAAATGTCTACATTCTTTCTGTTTTGTGTTGTCCGTATGTGTTGTATTCACTTTCTCATTTACTTTTCGGCACATTCTTATAACAGTTTACTTGTATGGTTATAAGGATAACACTTGAATGCATAATGAGCCTTTACCGTGTAACTATAGCTCTCATGCCATTACATCCTTCACCCATGCTGTTTAAGACTGCTAATACATGTTGTGTCTTCCTTCATTGGTATGCTCAATAATCACTCTCTCAAACATTGTTTAAATAATCCAACCTCTACAATCGTAGAACCTTAAGAGAACAAGATGGCTATACCATTACTTCATGGGTGTACAGATGTCAATTCTTTGCAAGGGGAAAGTGTTGTAGTTACTGCCCCTTTGCAAGGCATGGGTGCTCCTTGTAACATCAAAGAGGAAAGCAAAACATATTGCTTAACTTATTGGGGTAAATAGAGAAAGTATAGCTACTCAAGATCTGGGATATGCTGATGTTGAAAAGCAAATAGGCCTTCTTTATTCTAAAATTTGGAGGTTAAAATACTTTAAGAACGTAGTTTATGGCAAAGAAAGAATAATTCAGAGACTTAATTGGATAAAAAGAGGTGTAAAGATCTGAATTTTGAAGCAATAATTCCTCAAAAGTCATTGTTAGTACATTTAATACAGTTACTGCTATAAATTAGGCCTCAATTGGGAGCTCCAGCTATTCTACTTCCATCGTCATGAAGTCCATCAGATAATTCAAAATCCGTAATATTATACCATCCCTAATTTGAGAGTGATCATTATTAGATTTTGACAAGCGTATCTGTTTGAGAAAAGTTGTGTTTGAGACAAAACTCATAATCTGAGGCCTTTTTTTACCTGAAGAAGTCTTGAAGTGTGCTCTTCCACTTGTGAACTGGAAATTACATGTTTATATACATAAGCTTCTAAATTTTTGTTACTCCTTAATGCTTGTGACTGAGATAATAGACACCGACCAATATTTTGTATTAGAAAACCAAGTAATTTTGTCCCTGGATTGACCTATGCACTACTAGTGATAATGGAAGATGCTTTTTGTTTAAGAAATAATCACAATCATGTGAAATTCTCCTCTGGCAACATATAAAGAAAAAGTAATTTAAGCTAAGAACTCTATTTTGTGATCCCCATATTGAAAATGACCATTTGTCCGTACCATCTGTCTTGTTTCAGCTATCTCATCTTCAAAATCACATTTTCTCAGTTCCTAAATAGCGTATATTTCTTTTTAGTAGTAGTGGAAATAGCTACATCTTAGTCAAGATTCGGCATATTAATCTTTTCTTTTTGTTTTTTTGGTAACAAAACAGTTCATTATGAAGGCACTCTTGCTGATACTGGTGAAGTATTTGATACTACCCGTGAAGACAATACAATTTTCTCCTTTGAGATAGGCACTGGTTCTGTTATTAAGGCTTGGGATGTTGCACTGAGGACCATGAAGGTCGATATCTTTAACTTGCGGTGGTTGTACATTGAGTTTAAATTAGTGCTCAACTTTTTATAATTTGATCTTCCAGGTTGGTGAAGTAGCTGTAATTACCTGCAAGCCAGAGTATGCCTATGGAAGTGCTGGGTCCCCGCCCGATATCCCCCCTGAGTAAGTTAACCCTGTAAATCTTTTTTACATTCTGCAAGCGTCTCTTGGCATAAAATAGCTGATAGTACCCTCAGGTGCGATTGACACCGAACATAGATATGTTTATGCAAAACCACTAAAACGAACATACATTAAACTACAATTCGCAATTTTGGGAGTATGATAAGCTTAGTTTTAAGAACTTAAGTTAAAACCATTAAGTTCAAATCTTGGATTTGTCTCCATTATGAGGTTTAAACTGAAGAGGAGAATTCGTGCTCATTCTCGGCTTCTCCTAATCCCAACATTCGTACGTGTATTAAGAAAGGGGAGAAAAAACGACAATGTTTCTATATTAGGAAAATGATCAGGGGTCCACTTTGAACCGTGCAAAATAAAGCCCCTCTACTAAATGGCGAAACTCTAACCCGGACTGGGAGCCTATGGTTCTGTAGATCGATTTCACCTTACCTGGGCACACTTTTTAGCATTTCAATCTCATCTAGTCACTAAGACCAACTTCCGTGTCATTCCAGCACTCCTAGCATGTTAAAGCAACATGACGTTGATTGGTAGCAAGACAGACGATCAATGTTTCGAGCTGGGTGGGATGGTGTTCTTTGTGGTAATCTAATTGTTTGAGTTTGAAACATCTTAATACAGGGCAACCCTTGTTTTTGAAGTTGAGCTGGTGGCTTGTAGACCACGTAAAGGTTCTAGTGTCAGCAGTGCTTCAGATGAAAGGGCTAGGCTGGAGTAAGTGATCTCTCTCTTTCTGTTAGCTCGAAAAACATGGTTTTATTCTCTGTAAGAAGCAACTAAATGGAATTTCGACCAAACAAATGGTCGGCAACAGGGAACTAAAGAAGCAAAGAGAAACGGCAGCTGCAGCTAAGGAGGAAGAGAAGAAGAAGAGAGAAGAAGCTAAGGCCGCAGCAGCTGCTCGTATCCAAGCCAAGCTTGAAGCAAAGAAAGGAAAGGGGAAGGGCAAAGCTAAGTAAAATCCCCATGCATTTATAATATATTTACATACTATATACTAGTGTCAAAATATGCTTTTTTGCTTGATATTTCTAAGCTTTCATATCGTTATAAGTTACCATTACGATAGCCAAAATGGTTGAAATGGGTTTGCCTCATTTTAACGGTCAATGAGATTCCCTTTGTTTTCTTATCATCTTATACAGAATCATTGGAAGATAGTACTTTCTGAATTAATCAGACTCTAATAAAAATATTGGGCATCATTTGGGAAACGATGTACAAAAATAAGAGTAATTGTAATTTTATTGAAAAAAGGCAATGGACGAAACTGTGTTCCAAAGTACAAAGTTGATAAATATATGAATAAATATCATTCTGTCATGAAATTAGAGTAAGCTTTTCCTATTATTCATTGAAACAAAAAAAGTGGTGGTCCAAAAATATTAATTTTAAGATGCCAAAAATTAGCCACTTATTCTTGGGAATGTTTACCAAGAAGAGACAAATCCCATGATTTAAGGCCCTTAATTTCCATTTAATTAGCAAAAACAAGCTGTAAGAATCCGAAAGAAAACTAAATTTGTTGTCATCACATGACACGTTCTCAAAACTTTTTGATATGATTTGTCATTCCATAGATGTTTAATTTATGCTCCTAATAATAACAGAGATTATATAACCAAAATGAAGATTATAATGTCCAAAAGATCTTTTATTCCTCACAAGAGTTTATTCACCAAATTATATAAATAACAATATGATTAGAAAGTCAATTTTTTTTAGTTTTTATGTGGAATGTTAGATTCATGTAACCTAAGCAAAAATTTGAATAGTCTTTCATCATTTATATGCCATTTTACAACATCATTAATCAACTAACCACTTTTTAGTTTATAATGAACAACTCCTGTATGGGGAGATGGGAATTAATATTATAAAAATTCAAAATACAAAAAAGTGAACGCAAACAACATATCATATATAACGTATAAGTAATTTTAACCATAGACGCAACGCAAATTTTCAATAAAGGAGAGTCGAATGAATTCCCTAACGTCGCCCATGGTTGATATCAAGTCAATTGAAGTCGACTAGATGAATCTTCACTTTATCAGTATTGCCTATATGAACCTTTTCCCATCCAAATGCCATAGTTACACTGAAAATAAGTCCAATGCTAGCTTATTTTTCAAACATAACATACTCAAACAAACGCCAAGGCACGCGATGCAGTTGATAATGGTGTATATACGCAAGATTTGCACCCCCAACGTCCTCTTCCATATCAAGAAAACGAAACAACATCCAACGACGACTTTTGAGTCTTAAAGGAGATATAAAATCAAATGCTCAACGACATCCGGCCTTACGCTTCCCTTTCTTTTATCAGCATTCTGGTAATCTCTGTCCTTTAGCAAAGAGCCTCAAATGATCTCCACTACTATAATTTGATTATATACAATTAACCACAGCTCATGGTCCACTATAATACATCAAACATACCATGACAATCTCATAGAAAAATGAACAAACCTGAGTGTGTATTAAGACAATGGAGGCCACATATAATTGAGCTAAGCAGACAGCAGGCTAGCAGGTCCCTCAGAATATGGAAAAATTACCTGTCATCACAAACTATTAAACAACAACACCATGCTCAATGGAATCACTTTAAAAAACAAATATTGTATCAATCACATACTCTTCACTTGAAACAAGAACTAATTCTTATTCTTAGCAGATAGGTAATGCACCAAAACATACTCACTGCCCCACCATAACACTTCACCTCCAACCAACAACTTGTATCAGGTAAGACCGTTCAATGAAGTCTGAGACATCAAAGTGGTGAACCGACTTTACTGATCACTACGCCACTCTCTTAAAGTGTGTGCCCCACTAGACTAATAGGTCCCCCATCCTAATAAATCACTAAAGTGCTCTATAAACCAGCCTCTTTTCTTTTCTTAACCAAGAAGATTTGTCCCCAACACATGGCTTCTTCTCAGAGGTTCTTCAATGTCATCTTAACAGTATTCATTCCACCATTAGAAACTTTCTTTTTATTTATCACCAGAGTACAATTTACAACCCCACTCAGCCTAGATGACCCCATATACTATACAGGTCCAATTTAGAATATAAAAAGAGCTTGCTGCGGTTCTCAAACTACAACTTTAAAATACAATCCAACTAGTGGTCCAAAATACTCATTAGACTGTTGTCAAATAGCCATGTATTCTTCTGTATGTTTCATTCAAAAGAGACAGATCCACTTGATGGCCAAATGAAAGGTGTAAATGTCCCAAAAATCCCAGTTTCTTGTCATAACATGGCATAGTGCAGACTGTTAACACGAACGACAATTACATTAGCATATAACTCACTAATGAAAGAGCCAAACACGTTTGGTTCAGTATACAAGCAAACGTTACACACCAAGAATAAGACGAAAACATCAATTAATAGCCGGACAATCTGCCAGATAAGCGATAACAAATAGTACAAGATTTAGGCAGTCTGTTCGCTACAAAACAGAATGTCTTTCGGAAGCCTCATTTCTGCCAAAAGATGTATCATACGGCTACGAATCCACTTCACACTCGAGTTCATAACTAATCAAAGCAGCTGATGGTCCACGTCTAGCCATACATGAAACCTACCATTTCCACCTTAAGAAATTGAACAAAGGAGAACGTGAACAATCACTCATATTATAAACTATATATAGGAAATGGAGAGATCACAGAGTTTAGCTATACCCTGTCATTACAAATTAGTTTTCTGCCAGCATCCCAAATGGGATCACTTTACAGAACAACAACCAACATATCCAGCGTAGTCCCACAAAGTGGAGCGCACATAGACCTTGCCACTACCTTAGTAGTGGTAGAGAAGCTGTTTCCAATACACCCTTAGCTCAAGAAAAAACACTTCAAAGCAATATAGAGAAAGAAATAACGGAAATGATAATCACACCACACTATTATAGGTCCCATCCTAATAAAATGTTGCTAGTGCGCTTTCAACTTAGCCTCTTTTCTCTTTTTCAAAGTATTCTAATTGAAACCCAGCTCCACTTATAATTCATATCCAGGAAGATTGAGCTAGAAACACTCCTCTGTCCTGAAGAAGTTTCCTCATTGAATACACGTCTACAAAATCTTAGCCAAGAAGGCTAGAGCTACATCAGCATGCATTTCACCACTGAAAAGCACTTTTTTTTTATCAACAGATGGATTCCTATGTAACACCTATCAAAAAGTTATTAGGTTCCCACTTTGCACAAGATTTAACCCCCTTGGGCCATAGGCTCATTTTATCAATCAAAATCACTTTGACTTATCATTAACCTGTAACTTTCAAAAAGCAAATCAACATATCTATCAGTCGGTTAATTTATGTTACCATCAGACTCAGAGTATACAATAACATGGCCTGCTATTTCGACCTCATTTCACCTTTCCATGCTGTAAGCCTGTAACTGATGCTTACAAGAGTTTATCACCTATGAGTTGACACCACTTTAAAAACTTCCCTCCTAATCCGAAACACCAAGAATACAACAGTTCAACATTTATCGTATTAATCATATGAACCACCAAAACATCAACGATAGTAGATAGCTTTCAAAAATCTAGTAATGACATCAAAATGTAGAGAACAAAAGAGAATTCTGCTAAAAAGAACAACAACATACTATTTATAAGCTTCAATGACCAATTTGATTACATGATCAAAAGCAAGTCTCTTAACTATCAAGCCAAGACTAATTGCAGGGTCCCTATTGTGGGACGTACCTGAATTTCCAAGTAAAAAAGAAGCCATGATACAAGAAACTGAGAATTCATGTAAAGCTTCATTAGTTCCAATAGATTTATCGAACAATCGGGGCGGAATTTAAAAGACACTAAATCTTAAAAGGGAACAGATAAAAGAATAAAAAGGAAGAATTACACTGCAGGGAGCCAATTCTTACACTAATATATTCCAATGTCATCCTCCCCTGCTATAGGATCTTCAATTCATTTGCATAAATATCATCTTAATAAATATCAAAAATAAATTCTTGCTTGCCATTGAAGAGCCAGCATTCACTTCCAGGGTATTTACAATGATGATAAAACTTGTCGTGTCCATCGGTACTCAATTTACCATCTTCTAACTCCATTATTAGCTTCGAAACCCCAGCCTCTGCGCCTTCTTGCTGTAGCAAGAAAGACAGATGACATTGAACTACTTCTGCTCTGATTTATCCTAGAATCTGAACTAGAGCTTGACCCTGATGAACCAATACCACCGAAACACGAAAACAAGTTGCCAAAAAACCTCCTAAAGCCACCACTTTGTCGCGATTCGCTTCCTCTAGAACCCCATGAAATCCTCCTTGGAACTCCATTATTGTTGTTATTATTGAAACCACCATCCATTTCAGTGAATACAACAGGAAGAGCTCTCTCCCCACCTCTCCTACCTAACCTCCCAACAGCAAATCCACCACCAGGTAATCTCCATATTGTCAATCCAACAGCTTCTTCCACCTCATTATTTGTTGCTACACTCTGCTCACTCTGTTCGCTTGGTGCTCTATTCGGATCGACAACATCCCGACTCTCCGAGGGCAATTCATGCCTACAGACTGGACACGAATTGCGCAACGAAAGCCATGGGAGTATGCAATCTGAATGGTATAAATGTTTACAGGGCATTTCGCGGGCCTCAGTGCCTAACTCAAATGCCTCTTTACAAACTGCACAACAAGATTCAGCAACAATATGAGAATGAATTATCTCAATTGTTGGCAATGACTCAATTGCAGCTTTTGAAGCTGGTGGATTCTCCATTCTTCCAATACCATTAGCTTCAATCTGCGCTAGCTGATCCAAAAGCCTATCGAAACCCGACCCGAGTAAAAACTCAGACATACTCGTAGGTAAAGGTCTCAAACCCGACCCGGTTCCATCATCATAATACAGTTCAAACCCCCCTCCTCCACCGCCTCCTCCACCTTCCCCTCCCGCACCACCTCCATTGGTAGAACCACGAAGGACTATCACAGGATTAAACGGCGACCGGTCACCAGTATTCCTCCTGTTCCTACGAACACCCGGACTTGACCCAGAACCATAACCCGAAGCTGGAGACTGATCCGTACTCCGCGCTGCCGTCTGCATCACCGCCGGAGGGAAACGCCGACGCCGTGACCCGGACAACGTGGATCGGGTCGGAGCCTCAATTTCTTCAACAAATCCCGTGTTACAATCAGGACAAGTAATCGATTCCTCGCTCCATACTCTGTAAAACCTATTGCATCTATAACACCAATACGTTGACGACATCGAGAAAAAAAAACTGAACTTGAAATCCAAAAGTCAATCAATACAAAATTCCCACAACGCCAGAAACGAATTCTTCAAAACCCACTTTCAGATCCAAAAATTTCACCAAATCAACAACTCCCACAACCCCAAAAACAGATTCTTCACAACCCAGTTACAGATCCGAAGATTTCAACAAATTAACCTCAAAAAAGAAAACTTTAGATCAAAATCCACCAAGACAAAGGCAAAAACTTTGACTTAGAAATGAAATTGTTGAGCAAAATTTGAAAATGAGGGAATATTTTAGGATAGGGAGAGAGAGAGAGTGGGGGAAAATGGAGAGAGATGGAAGGAGAAAGAGTGGGGGAAGACAAATATAAGGAGAAGGGATATAGAGGCTATATTTTTGGGGGTGAAGGGTAAAATAGGAAAAATATGTACAAATGATGACTAGGAGTATGACGTGTAATTGAAGCTGGCATTTATTGACACGTGTTATTGTAGAAATGGTGTGTGGGAAATTTGTAGTAAAATTATCGTTTTATTTATTATTTTTAGTCTAAGAAAATCGATAATATATATTGTGTTGATAGTCTAAGAAAATCGATAATATATATTGTATTGATGTGATATGAACAAAAGTGAAGGGTTGTATTTGATATTTTTTGTAACAAAAAGGTATCATCAACATTTCAATGTAAGTTTTATAAAATAGTGGTATGATCAATTTTGTTATATAGGGCGAAGTGTTGGTCAGAGAAAATTGATCACATGTTTAGAAGATATATAAATGGAAAAAAATGAGGATGTTGAGATAAAAGTTTGGGCATACTAAGAGCAATAGCTTTAGGAATGAGGATATCGAAAATAAAGTGTAGATGACCTCTATCTCTATGACAGAGAAGATGAAGGAAGAGAGATTACGATGGTTTGGACAGTGAAAATAAAAAGCGTGAAAGCTTCAGATCCCAGCATAAAGGTGTGAAAGATTAGATATAGAGATCGAAAAGAGGCAAGAGAGATGTTGAATAAGTATTAGGAAAAGAACACGATTAGATAGAAATTAAAATATGACACATTTTCAACTTATCGAAGATATGTCCTTAGATAAAAGGACATAAAAGTCACAACAGAAAAAAAAAATTAGAAAATAACTGAAAATTGTCTTATTACTTTTATGTCAATTGAATTTATTAATATATTCATGTAATTTTTAACTTTTCATAACTGATTTCATTTATAAATTTACTGTGTTTAAGTGATATCTTTAGATAAAAAAAATGCATATCATGTTTTTTCTTTAATTTTGGAAAAATGTATAAATATTTCTTCAATTCGAAATTTCAGAGACACATATACTATATTAAGGTTCTATTATCGCCTGAACTTATTTTATAAGTAATTTTATAATTCTTTTTCGATCTACGTGGCAATAGCTTGAAAAAAAGTCAATCAATATTGAATCCACAAGATAGTGCCATATAGACTGAAAAAATTATTAATAAAATAAGTTTAGAAGCTAATAGAACCTTAATATAGTATAAATATTTCTCTAAAATTTCAAACAAAGAAGATAGTATCCTTTAATTTTTTATGTAATACATTTTCACTCGCAATATTCTTTTATTTGAAAATCAGAAAAAAGTTGCTTCTGTTCTGAGTGGATAATAACTTATGCAGTGATCCGCTTCTTTTTTTTTTTTCGGAAATCGTAGAACTTATTATATAAATTAAAACTCTGTATATTATTTTATTTTTATTTGATGCCTAAAGAGTAGCATTAAAAAGATTCTTTATAAGTAGGAATTTATATAGATTTAAGTGAGAATAAGAATATAACATCTTTTTTAGAATTATCCAATTCTACAATAGTCAATTTTAGATGGCGCTTTCATTTTTCTTTTTCTTTTCATGACTTCTTTCTTCTTCTTTTTTTCCCACTAGATTTAAGATCACAAATTTAGGGGTTTGATATGATATACATATATATAACTTTATTTGGTACATTTTTTTTATATTTATGTATAGCTAATGTATATATTAGTTATATGTATTATATTGGAAAAATGCATAAGTACCTCTTTAATCTATGTTCAAAATTTCAAAAATACTTATAGTATGCTAAGATTCTATTACTTTCTTGAACTTATTTTATAAGTAATTTTCTGTCCTTTTTGTCCTACGTAGCACTAACTTGAAAGAAAAATCAATCAGTATTGGGCCCACAAGATAATACCACGTAGGTCGAAAAGGAATAGAAAATTATTAAAAAAAAGTTCTAAGAAAGTAATAAAACTTAGTATAATATAAATGTATCTCTAAAATTTCGAGCATAGATTGAGGAGATACTTATGCATTATCCATACTATATTTAATATTATGTTATGCATTACTAATACATGAGAAATTGTGTTATCACCTTAATGCAAGAGATTTTAGTGCATGTATGAGCATATGGATAGACATAATTGTCCCTCAAATTTTTTTTTCCATATATTCTTTCAACTGTATTTTTACGCTTCATTCTTAGACAGCTCAATATAATACTTTAATAGATTTGATAATCAATCTCAGTGAAAAACAAAAGAATCAAACAACAAAATTATAAAAATATTAAGTGAACAAGAAGAAACACAAAATAAATAAAAACAACTTTTTAGTAAGACAGAAAATAACTTAGATTACCTCAAGGAACAATAAATAGATTTACGTAAAAAATTAAACGAATTAAAAAATAAATCTAAAAAAGAAATTTCATGTTTTTATTAGTTAATAATCACGCGAGTTCAACATGTTAACTTTGTTTTACTCCTTCAATCATGATGTTGGTTGAGTTTTACATACTTTATTAAAAATACAATGTGTTTGAAATTTTTCTACATTTACAAAATTTGAGTTGAAAATAATGAGTGCGACTATTTTATTTTGTAATATATATATATATAGCTTTTACTACCTTGTTATCTTAATGGGGAAGTTTGATTATTATTGTTTTTTGTATAAAGTAGGAAAGAAGTTTGAAAGCAACTACACATATATTAAGCTAATTATTAATCAATGGATTCATTTGATAGGCTACCTATATACAACTTTTTGCATATTAGATATCCTGAAATTAGTGATATCCAAATTAGTTGTGTTGTGATTAATAAAGGTAAAATTACGTGGATACATAGTTATACTTTAAATTAATTATGACTTATAATTTAATTTTAGTTATAATTATGTACGCTTTTTTTTTCTCTCTCACACACCTTTCTCCTTATTTATACTTATACAAAACCAACTATATGATAGATATACAAATGCAATCACCTCTCTCCACTCTCTGGTCTCTCTCACTCGCCTCTCTCATCCTTTCTCAATCTCGCTCGTCAGATATACAAATATATATGTATATCAATTACATATGTTCAATTATATATACATATACAATTTGACATATATATATATCCAATCGCATCTCTTCATTCTATGTCCTCTCTTCGCCTCTCTCCTCCCTCTAACATATAATTATGAATCGTAATTAGCAAATTATAACTGTACTAATTAAAGTAATTTTAGTGACTATTTGTGAAAGTTCCTCATTAATAATAAATAATAATTACTATGTTATGATTAAATAATATATAGAGATTATTATGTTGTATTTTGTTCAATTTCTTAAAAAATTTTAGTCTGAATTTTTTTTTATCATAAGTGTTTTGTAAAATATATTTTATCAATACTAAAGCATCAATTTTTATGTAATTGAATTTTTAAAGAGTATTTCTCTAAAGAATGTAATTTTTTTCAACTTCTGAAAACTATTTCTATTACTATTAATTACTATATCAAATATAACTGCTTTTTCTTTTTTTAAAAAAAAATGGGTCAAACAACTCAACTCTTTAAAATAAAATATTTTTGACTTTATAAAAGATAGATCAAGTAGGTCAAAATGCGTTTAGATGCTTCAACTAAATATCTCTTCTCAAATATTAAATTTGAGGCCTTAGAAAAGACTATAAAGGTCATTCAATTGGTTAAATTATATTACTACTAAAATCTATCCATAACCATATCTATTGATATTTTTAATATTTCAAGAGTAAAAAGCTTTAAAAATTAGATTAAGGAAATATTCTTTAAAAAATTAATGGATCAAAGTACTTTTTCTTTTTAAAAAATCTAAATGTAAAATTAGAACTTATTTGTATGATTCATCAAACAACTAAAAGTTTTACTAAAAATTCTAAAGTTTTACTAATTAGTAGATACCATACATATATTCATTGAGTATCTTAATAATTGTGTGATCATATAATGTAAATAATGATATATTTAAACCTCGAAATAATAAATAAAATTTTGATGTAGCTCCTCTTTAATATGAAGACAATAAGATGGTGTTAAACGTGCATTTAAATACCCTGAGAAACAACTAATATAAATTTGTTTTATTCAAATAGATTCAATTTATTATCAATTGGTTAGTTGTCTAACTCACATTTAGAGCATAAACATGTTATTTATTTATATTTGGAGCTATAATCATAACATGTCGATTAACTAAATAAATTGTAATTGCTATTTTTTTTAATTTATTCAAAAATGATTGTTATTTACGACATAACACGTGTTAGGTCACTTAACTTATAACGTAATAAGTGTCAAGCTTAAATTCATCCTCACATTTCCTTACCCTTAAAATAAACTTTATTGCAACTTTTCATATATACATCAAATTGGAAAAAAATATAGTTCACACTTTCCCTCTTCTCAACTTCTATTAAGCCAAACCATACTACTTATTGTACAATTTTGTGATGAATAAAAATGCAATTTTTTTAAGATACCTAACCTATGCATGGTTCAATATAGAAATATTAGTTAGTTAAATCCTATATTTAGCTTAGTATCTTTTATATAGTGGAACTTTGATTTTTGCAATAGTAGGTATGGTCCACTAAAATTAAGAGGGCTCAGCTTAAAAACTGGTCAAACTGACTTAAAAGCTGGTTTTTGACTTATTTGACTGTTTGGCAATACTCAAAATAACTTATTTTAAGTTTAAAAAAACTTATTTTAAGCCAAAAGTTAAAAGCTGGGGTAGGGGTGCTATTTTTTTTAGCTTATAAGTTGTTTTAAGTTGACCACATTTTTATCTTTTTGCGCTTAATATTTTTATACAATCTCCAAATTACCTATATAACCCTAACATTTCTTTCTTCCATTTTTCCCTTTTCACGTTTGACATAACTATTTTAGCACTTTTATCCAAACGCATAACTGTTTATTTTAAAAATAAGTTTCAGCACTTTTAAAAGTACTTTTTTAAAACTGTTTTTATTAAGCCCATCCAAACGGCCCTATATATTATACTTTTGGTT